AGCACTGATTACTCCCATCACATCATCATGGGTGATTTTAACACCGACCTCGTTGAAAATTCCGTCTCCGCCGTTAAACTCCAAAATCTTTTCAAATCTCTCAGCTTTTCTGTGCTCCCTCTTAATCCCACTCATCATAATGCTCAATCTTCAGACACATGGCTTGACCTTTTTATCACTTCCACTGCGAATAACTTCACAAAGTTTGGTCAGTTCTCTGCTCCTGGTTTCTCTCACCATGATCTCATATTTGCTTCATATAAACTGAATATGACCAAACCGAAGCCAAAGGCTGCTCATGCGCAATTTTGCCAAACTCAACACTGATGCTCTAAGATCTGATGCTGCTGACATAGATTGGTCACCAGTTTTGAATTCCAATTCTATTGATGTTAAAGTTAACTCATTTAATTCTCAGATTCTTGAGCTCTATAATATCCATGCCCCTTGCGTTGTGTAAAGCTGAAACGGCCCCCTGCTCTTTGGATATCCAAGGGAGTTCGTATGGCCATGACTAGGCGTGATCGGGCCTTCCGAAAGTTTTAAAAGGAAAGATCGGAAAATAACTGGAATCGTTTTAAATCTGCCAGAAATTTGTGCAATCGGATAGTGAGATCTGCAAAGCGTCGCTACTTTTTCGACAGCCTGGCTAACTCCACATCAGCCGGGGCCTGGAAATTATTAAAAAGTGTTGGTCTCGGAAAGTCCCAGGCCTCTGCTGGTGTTTCTTCTTTCTCTTTTTCACTGAACGAACTTAACTCTCATTTCTCTTCCATTTCACCTCTAGACTGTGTCACCAAATGCAACACGATGTCTGAATTAAAATCTATTCCGTCTCGTAATCTCGAGCCCTTCTCCTTCTCCTTAGTGTCGACTGACCACGTTAAAGAAATTTTTCGTTCCCTTAGTTCTAACGCTGTCGGCTGCGACGGTATCAGTCGCACTATGCTTCTAAATATTCAGGATTACATAATTCCAATTTTAACTCATATCATAAATTTTTCCTTTGAGAATGGTTCGTTCCCTTCCTTGTGGAGAAAAGCCTTTATAATTCCTCTCCCAAAAACTAATAACCCAAAGGTATTGAGCCACTTTAGATCCATTTCTATTTTGCCGTTCCTCTCTAAAGTCCTGGAAGCAGAGGCACAAAAACAGCTTTCTAAATTTATTCTAGACAACTCATTACTCTCTCAATACCAATCTGGTTTTCGCCCAGGACACAGTACGTCTACTGCCCTTCTTAAAGTGTCTGAGGATGTCAGAGATGGTATGGAGCTTGGCAAGTTGACAGTGCTCGTGCTGATTGATTTTACCAATGCTTTTAACACTGTCGACCATGATATTCTCTTTGCCTTTCTGGCATACCTTAGTGTATCTCCATCTACCTTAAAATGGTTTTCCTCATACCTGAACGACCGCTACCAAGCGGTTTGTGTTGACGAATCGCAGTCTGATTGGTGCAGCTTAGCGGCTGGCGTTCCTCAGGGCGGCATCCTATCGCCACTTCGTTTTTCTTTATCAATTTCATATTCACCTTTCTTCGCTGTTCGTTTCATTTGTAGGCCGACGATTTGCAGTTATACCGCCGTTGCAGTTCTGATGAGATTAACTCTACTATATCTCTCCTCAATGAAGATCTTGATATGTTCTGCAAGTGGTCTGAGCGCTTTGGTGTTGTCGTCAACCCAACTAAGTGCCAGGCTATTATTATTGGTGGATCTCGCCAAATATGTAAGCTTGATATTGGCGCTGTCAGTCCAATTGTCTATAATGGCATGCAAATTCCTTTTTCTCCAAATGTTAAGAATCTTGGTTTGCACATTGACAGTACCTTTGGCAGGTCCACTCATATTAACGAGACATGTCGGCGGGTCACAAATATGCTCCGTGCCCTCTATAGACATAAAAATTTTCTCCCTGTTCACACAAAAATCTCTTTAATTCAGGCTCTTGTCCTACCATCCATAGATTATGCTGATGTGTGTTATCCTGACCTAAATAAAGATCTTCTTGGTAAATTGGAGCGGTCTCTTAACAGCTGTATTCGATTCATATTCAGTCTACGGAAATATGATCATATTACTTCATTTCGCCGTGAACTCAATTGGCCGCCTCTTTCAGACCGTCGTGGTTTAAGAATTCTCACATCTCTTTTCTTAATTCTTTTTGACCCTAATGCTCCGTCTTACCTGAAGTCCAAATTTCAGTTTTTAAGTTCCACACACTCTCATCCTCTTCGTTCATCTGAAAATCTTCTTTTGTCCATCCCCTCCTACTGCTCTAGCTTCGTATCAAACTCATTTTGTCTCCAAGCTAATTGTCTCTGGAACGATCTTCCGGAGAGCGTGAGAAAAGCACCCAGTAAACCTGCTTTCAAGGTCCTCGTACGTCAGCATTTCGCTAATTTAGAAGTCATAACAATTTCAATTTCTATATTATGATCAAACTCTGGTCAATCCGCCTAATATTAATATTATCTGTAATAGTATTTTGTTTTATTATAGTATTCTTAAGTAAGTATAGTGGTATTTATTATCGTATATATAAATATATATGTATATATATGTAGTTATGTAGGTATATTTTTAGATGTTATGTATTATAATTTTTATATTAAGTATCATGTAGTTTTATCAATTTAATTTATTTTTCTTTCACCTTTTGCCTTTATTTACTTTACCGCATAATGTCTCAGCTTAGCCCGATGGTTGACTGGTAGAGAATGCCATGTGGCATTAAATCCACCATTTGTTGTAAAATGACAGTAAAAAGTAAATAATATATATATATATATCGTTTAAAGTTAATATCTCTTTTCTCATGAACGCGTAGAGGTATTAAATTGAAATTCATATCAAATACGGTGAACATTTACTTATATACCTACAGGTTTGCACGGAACCCTCGGTGCGCGAGTCCGACTCTCACTTGGCCAGTTTTTTTTTAGTGTTTAAGATAAATTGTTTCCGACGTGTATCAGCAATTTAGCTGTATTTTTCCACTAATATGCAACATTAGGTCAACAAACAATATTTTTTAATTCAATACAATTAATACAAATCTGAGGCAATGTTTACTTTTCCGCGTCCTCTGGCGGAGTACATTTAAAGCCAAATTGATATTTAGTGTCGGTGCCATGCCAACCCAAGCAGTAAATGGCAACTCAGATCAATCGATGTGCAAACCACCGACTAGAAAATGTTAAATTGACTATAAATAATGTACTTTAGATGAAAGATCGCTTAAGATATAAATAATGAATAGGTAAGTATTATTTATCAATTTTAGTGGTTTTGTTTCTATGAAGTCGGTTATTATTTTTGTAAAAAAACCTTTTTTTACGCCAGAGTACATCAACAGACACCAAGGCTGCATTCGCATAATGTCTTTCATATCTCTTAAAATAAAAATATTATTATCTGGTTCACACGTTAAGGCTAGTGTGATTTGTATTGTAAGAAGATTCACTCTAAACCTGGGTACACATAATGTCTAATGTGTAAGTGTTTTTCATAATGCGTAATCTGCGTAAATCTGCTTGCTGATATTGTTAGTTATGTATAATCTGACGTGGCTGTACGTACAGTATAAACAAACTACATCGATTGTAATTCGAAACCATTCGTCAACAATGAATATTTATGTCACCGGCAATCTGTATAATTCAGGAATTCTATACAATACCTAGGCAATATTTAAAATGCCAGGGGGGTATAGGCAATTTATGATGTATTATAATATTATTTAAGCCTACGTAATGTATTCAATTCCTAAGGATTGTATAGAGTAGTACCTGCTGGCCCACCGGCTATTCGTTAAATAAACAGATTTGGGCTTACCAGTCAGATTGTCCAGATATCCTTACCAAACCTAGCCTAGCCTACACGGTTGGATTTTATAATTCTCACCGAATGAACTACACACTACTGAACGTTTGACCAACTTATAGTGGGTTAGGTTAATTTAGTGTTGTGGCCTAAACTTAGCGCTAGCCGGGCGAGCACGGCGAGCGTGCCATGACAGTGGCCAGCGATGCACCAGCCACCCTATTTCACCAAGTCGACATATGCCGCTGACATATGGTGACAAGTAAACAAGTAAGTGACATATTTTGACTTTTGTCGTGGTATAGACAGGTGATAAGTGTCAATATTCAAAATAATTTTTGAAATGCTTGTAAAAATGACAGGCAGTCAATGTGAAATAAGGAAATTTTTATAAGTCGACATATTTGACGATTGCTGGTAATTTTAGACACGAGATAAGAGGGTTGTGCCAGATTTGCGTTACAATTATAGTTTTTTGTTGTTAGTAAAAAAATACTCTATGCAAAAGCTTGAAAAGATGAGTTCTTATACAGGAAAATATATAAAGAACGAATAATATTCTCCTACAACATCACTAACTGTTCGATCAAAGAAAAATTAAAAAACAATTATGCAAAACCAGTATCGGACATTTAGTTAATGAAATCGATGCAATAAATAAGTAAATCACGCAACAACAAACCATCGGCTTACATATTATGTGAGTGACATATGTCGATTTGGTGAAATAGGGCCCTGATAGAAATAGGTAAATAATTATAGATAATAGATAAATAAAACACGGAAAAGGCGACTCGCTATCCTCTTTAACACACGTTGCCAATTAAGCATTCGGCATTGAATAGAATACCTAGACAAAGTATAAAGTGAATAATATTTCATACGTTACCTAGGTATTGTATGTAATGCCGGATAATACAGATTGCCGATAATAACATTAATAAATGGATGTTGTATTACATAAATATAAGTTTATGTATGTATAAATAACTTTCATACTTATAAACAAGAATATCGTTTGTAATGATATCAATAATTTCATCTTTTATCTTATTATTATTTGTTGCATAGACTTATTTTAGTGAACGTAATTAAATCTAAATATTTTGGGATATATGTATATAAGAAACGCTGCTTTTATATTCCTTCGATTAATTAAAGTTTTCTTTCCAGGGGCAAGAACTGATTGATTTTGACCCAGAATAAAGTGATGAACATCGAATCACCATTTCTCACCTCCAAACACACAAACATGAAGCAATCAAAATGCCGCACCGCTACCGCCCAGCCCCCATCTACACATCTCTCCTAAAGCGGGTCGTTACTGCTCGCTTCTTCTTCTTCATCACCACCATCAGTTTCCTAGTATCTGTCGTTTTCATCCAATCTGTGAACAGGAACGACAAAATCGTGCAACAAGTCATAGACAACGTCAGCCGAGACATTAAATACATCGATGTGTACAGAATACCGAGTAAGTTGTCCAAGGATGTCAAGTTCATACTCCTATGGACTTCTTCCACCTACTCGCCTTTTTACTTCTTCGGCACTGGACAGCAAGCGTTCGTCGAAAACAACTGTCCGGTGACTGACTGCTATGTTACCGACGACAGGCAGCTTCTTGATGGTGATGTCACCAGATTTGACGCCATCGCTTTCAATGGTCGAAACATCAAGAGCTTGCGTTACTCCCAGTTACCTGGGCCCAGGTCGCCCCGCCAAAAGTATATCTTCTTCAATCTCGAGTCGTCTGACAACTACCCCGTATGCTCCGCGAGATACGATGGATATTTCAATTGGACAGCAACTTACAAGTTGAATTCCGATATTCTGTATCCATATATAGTCATTAAAAATATAAATGGCGAAGTGGTTGGACCTAAAGTTGATATGAATTGGATTAAAGATTATGCAGATGTGGATGATGAATTTGTAGATAAGTTGAAAAGTAAAAGTAAGGCTATAGCTTGGTTTGTATCGTCTTGTTCAGTCAGAAGCAAAAGGGATAATTTCGTTGCAGTTTTCAGTAAGGAGTTGTCTTCTCACGGGTTCGGTATTGATATATTCGGGAAATGTGGTCAACATAAATGTCCTATCGATAGAACAGAGGACTGCAAAAAGATGCTGGAGAAGGATTACTTTTTCTACCTCTCATTGGAGAACTCTTTCGCCGAAGATTATATAACTGAGAAAGTGTTAACTGCGTTACAGCATAATGTAGTGCCTATTGTATATGGAGCAGCAAATTATTCAAGGTATTTCATGATTTTTTTTATAAAAATAGTAAGATTAAGGAAAAAATCTTTTTAGCTATATTAATAATTAGTTTTGTTCTGGAAAGTAGTAAAATCACCCGTGTGTCGTTTTTATCTTTTCATAAAAAACGAAATTATCGTACAAAACTATCAATCAAAGTAAAGAGAATACGGCAAAGTAAAGTAAATACTACAGCGCACAAGTGAAAGGGAGATTACACGCTGCTTCCACCATTTCCCACTACCTTTCCTAGTTTTATTTTCAATATTTTTTGCTTTTTTGATCGATTTGAATTCTATTATAACTAAAAGATATCTATCTTTATGTCTTTTTAATAACGTTTTCAGTAAATCAGACTTAATGCTGATGCTGTTACTATTTTGATCCTAATTCCTGATTATCACCATGAATTTTGGAAAATAGTACCCTAATTTTCTTACAAGTAAGTCAGAAGATTAGAGTCTATCTAAAGAAACTTGAACTTGCTATTTTTTTTAATTTTGAATATGGCAATATTAGAACTGTCACTTTTACGTCACACGTTACGAATCGGCGAGTTGTTGGATGGGTGGATTTTGATAATTTCGTTTATTTGGGTACTTCATTTCTTACATACAAGTAGAATACACAATAAAGTAGGTAGCAAAAATACTACACAGTAAAATACTTCAAAAAAAAATACCAAATTCATACATGCAAAACCACAAAAAATTATGAAATATTATTTACCTTTATCTTAATTACCTCCTTAAAATATTATTACTATCTGCCTTTTGTTCTGTCATCATCATCATCATCATCAGCCTATTAATGTCCCCACTGCTGGGGCACAGGCCTTCCCTATGGATGGAATAGGGAGATTGGGCCATGACCCACCACGCGGGCCCAGTGCGGATTGGCGGGTGCTAACGACTGCAGATGCAGCCGATTTGATGATTTTGTTCTGTAATCTGAGTAAATTACGTTTGAGTAAAATGAAGTCGCTGAAAACCCAAGTAGTTAAAGACTACTCAGATCTATTTGACAAGATTATTTATTTAAATCAAATCATCATCATCATCATCATCATCAATCATCAAAATCCGTCTACAAAATTCAGAAACATTAGGTAAAAAAAATATAGCAGTATTGAGTGACTCCTTTTTTAAGCTGGCTATAAATGTTTGATTAATATTTATGTTAATTTAAAGTATCAAATCTGTTTTATCCCTAAAAAAGCAGTGTTTACAGCTACAGAACTTGTATCGCCCTTTAAAGGGTCACGATTCATTAGACAGAATTAAGACTGATGACGATCAGTGTATAGTAACTTTCATATTACAGATTCCTACCACCAGGCTCTTATATCGACGCCAGAAGTCAGGACGCGAAGTCATTGGCTGACACAGTGGCTCGTCTTATCAGTTCCCCTACCTCATACAGTAAGTACTTCAAATGGAAGAACCACTACAGCTTCCACGACGCGACCTCTACGGAGGACGTATGCTCTGTCTGCACCGCCCTCCACAATAAGAGCATGATGGAGACTACATCCGTATATAAAACCTTCAGGGAGTGGTGGAATCCTAACTACAGGAGCAGATGCAGCTGGTTTTTGGACGACGATGACGCTTAGATGGACAATATCTGCTTAATACCTTTTTTGCCACGCATAAAAAAGGTTCCGGGAGACTATAAATTCATTATTGCAGCTAAAGAGGCGTACTTATTTAAAGTTCAAACGCTAATTTAGCGTATTTAGTACCAAAGCTTCGTCGTGCAGGTGTAGGATAAACATTAGAAGATGTTGAATCATTGAAAAATAAATGTTATTTATTTCTAGAACAATATTTTGTTAATTGCTTTGTTTGATGAACGTTAACTTAAATAAGCTTTTCCACTAGTACCAAGTAGGTCCCTATTTGAGTTTTTAATTTATCCAAAATGACAATCTTTAAGTAAGTAGATTTTTATAATATAATAGATAGCATGATTAGATTTAAACGGCGTTGAATTCCAAAGATTTTAGAATATTATTTAGTCGAAAATAATTTAATTGTTAATCAATTAAATTAAGCAATCTCACTTAATATTTTATTGAAAATTATAATAGAAAGAAAACCGTAAGTAGGTACTTCGTGGGCAATTCCTGTTTTTGAATAAAAGATTATTTTGTAACAACGAAAACATTTAATGTAAGCTAAACTTCAAATGTAAATTGCGATATAACTGAAGCTTCCAATAGCTTAACTAGGTACGAGGTATATAGGTACTTAGTTAGTCTAGTCTTAGTTATAGTCAACACTAAGGAAATAATTTAAGATGGAAATTTTTAGTGTCTTATTGTCATTGTCGACAGGTTGTTAGTTATATAAGATTTGTAAGCAATTTGCAAGTGATTATTTGCAGTTCCAGAAGTTTAAATAAGTTATCTATGTTGTATAGTTACTTAGAGACTTTTATATATATTTTCGTTATTCTGTAGACTTTAGGTCATGTTAATTATTATAATATTTCGTTTGTTAAAGTAAAAAAAATATATATTTTGATATGTGTGGCATGAGATGAAATGACAATACTTTAGTATGGAACGCGGAGGAAATTTGAAGTTGATAATAAAAGAGAAGACCTTATAGTTTGAGGAACTAATAAAAAAAGTGTGATGTTAAGATATCATTGTCATATTTTGTTGCTTTAAAAGTATAATTTTGTTTTTTGTTTTCATTTCATTACAGTATATTAATATACTTATGTAGCTATAAAAAGTTATAGGTATATAAGTAGTTACAGTAAGTTTATTAAAAACTCATAAAACATAAACCTAGTTACGACAAGTTTAAAGTTAATGTATAACATGATTTTTCTTGAATTTAAGCACAGGAGTTGAAGTTAGTTAATTTCGTAATTTAAAAATTGGTTGGTTTTTAAGTGTGCATTTATTATAAGTAAGTACTTAATTGTTTAACTATAGTTTGATTTGCAATCTGTAGTCAAACGAAAAAACTTTTGAGAGTCGCGGTCGGCTTTTTGTGTTTTTAATGTTTCTATAGAAAGATATATTTTTTTAAACCTTCTCTCTAAGTTTAAAAAATAAAACATCGTATGTTGATTTACATCAAACTAGCCCGCGATTTTGTCCGCGTTGCCTTATTTTTTTTGAGAATCCCTGTGTATAAAAGTATCCTAAGTCTCGAATAGGTAATAAACTATAGATACTTCTTTAAATATAAAACTCAAAGATGATTGACTGACATAGTGAAATATCAACGCACAGCCCAAATCACTATACGGATCGGGCTGAAATTTGGCATGCAGGTAGATGTTATGACGAAGGCATCCGCTAAGAAAGGATTTTGATCAATTCTACCCCCAAGGGGATAAAATAGGGAATGAAAGTTTGTATAAAACTTTGTCAATTTTAAACCGATCGAGCTGATACTATGTATGCAGGTATAAGAGGAATCATAGATGAATGTCATTGTGTATAAAACAAGCCTGGGAAAAAAAACTGTAGTCTACACTCCAGCTCTACACCGAAGCGAAGCGAGGGCGGGCCGCTAGTTATTAATAAACGGGGAATAAGCTAAGAATACTTACGCCGTGTCTTGTTCATATCACGTGCCATTTATCATTCAATGAACAGAGACAAAACATAAAGTCCAGCCGTTTTTGCGTGATTATTCTCTGAAAACTAAAGTTTACGCGGACAAAGTCGTGAGTGGCCGCTAGTATTGAATATTTTCCAGTGCCATTTCTGGTCGGTAATAGCAGTCTAAATGACTACTTCCGTTGCATTATACTGACACGCTCTAAATACGTGCATTGTGCCGTATCAGCTGGCTATTAAAGTGCACTTATAAATGTTCTTCCCGCAATATAACAGAGTTGTGGTGTTATGATTGGTCCTGTTGGACAAATTAGTTTGACTATTTTAGTTACTTCAAACAAACATACATACGTTAATTGTTATCTCTAAATCTGAGTAAAATAATGTATATCATAATACATTTTCAGCTTAAATAATTAAAAAATATTGATAATATGAATAAAAACTGTACTTAAGTGGTTAAATAGCGTTTCAAATAATATGTTAACATGTTGCCATTGTCAGAACTATTGTGATAATAAGTTGTAATTTCATGTATTAAAACTAATTCTTAAATATTATATTGTGTTGGTTTTATATTCTTGTACCTCAATATTAATGCAGTTGCCATACAGTAGAGGAACCCAAGCAGGGTTTTTTAGATGTACTGAACTGTGTAGGGGGACGCCCTACATGAACAAAAATTAGCACTTTAAAGTTCAATATTTCGCAAACGGATCACTTAATCGAAAAATAGTCTTAAGAACCAAGAATAAGATTAAGAACCAGAATTTAAAGGACCTACTCGTATTCAACGATAACCCACACGATGGGGTACGGAAGAGCTACCCTAACAAAAAATATTATTCATAATTTTATTCTCCCATTTTGTCAGCATTATTGATATACCTATATATATCTCCACAAAATTACAGCTCTAGTGCTAACAATCTCCAAGCAATTGGGGACGGACAGACAGACGGACATGACGAAACCATATTATAATGCAATATGCTAAGTTGAAAATAATGGGTGTTCAAATAATGATAATAATAAATAAAATAATATTTATGCTGACGTACTAAAACTTTCAATTTAAAACTATTTGAATAAAGTTACTGTGACGTAACCTGATCTTTCGTCATTATTATTGTTTTGAAAGTTCTCACTATTACTAAACTAACTTGGTGTAGGTACACCATTAGAGTCACTAAGTAATACTTCATCATCATCATCATGTCAGCCGTACGACGCCCACTGCTGAGCATAGGCCTTCCCCAAGGATCTCCATACCGATCGGCCCTGCGCCACTCGCGTCCATCGGCTTCCCGCGACCTTCACAAGATCGTCGGTCCACCTTGTAGGGGGCCTGCCCACTGAGCGTCGTCCGGTGCGTGGTCGCCATTCCAGAAACTTTCCGCCCCAACGGCCATCGGTTCTTCTTGCTACGTGTCCTGCCCACTGCCACTTCGGCAGAGCAATCGTTCGAGCGATATCAGTTACTTTGGTTCTCCTACGGATTTTCTCATTTCTGATTCTATCGCGTAGGGAAACACCGAGCATCGCTCTCTCCATTGCTCGCTGTGTGACCTTGAGCTTTCTTATGAGACCCGCAGTAAAGGACCACCATGTAAAACTTAGATTTTCTGATATTCTGACTATTACAATCACCTACATATTTATGGTATTTACAAGAAGAAAATAAATTCAGACTTCGACTGAAGTAATAAGCTTCTAAGCCCACCATGGAACTAGTTAAGTAATGAAAGTTCTAACGTTAACGGAAAAGTTTCGGTTAAGTTAATCAGCCAAGTTTTTTTATATGACACCCAACCGTTACGTGGGGTGAACTTACAGCTTCTTGGGCAAAAGTGATTAGAAGAGACCGTTTATGAGCTCTGTGGTAGCAAATTAAGAGAGGTACCCGGTTGCGCCTGTATGGCATTTTGACTTGACCGCGTTAAGATTCTTATAATCGCTCATCGTCTTATTTTGAATAAATAGCTGTATTGCCACTTTACTTATTTCCTATTCCCATCTCCCTCCTGCACATACCTATTTCGTATGAAAGAGAGAGTCGACGAATGTCCACTAGGGACATCTAGCGGGTGTTGAAGTTAACATGCTTCTTAGCAAATCCGCACCGCACCTTTTGTTAATGGCTGCCGTAAATCGCGCTCTTCGTAATTAATTCGTATGATAAACAATAAACAGAGTGATTTTCATTGTGAAAATAGAAGTGCAACACTACCCATTTAGTGTTACCCATAAGAATATCAATCGGCTACGAATCTAGGTTCGGTTTTGGCCGGCTCGACGCATCCACCACAGGAGCTTCTGGGCTGGCCTATGGGTTTCAAACTATTTCCCTTTGTTTTAATCCACGCAGTTTGAAACCTCCTTTATTTGATTATCGTGCCAATTTTTAAATTTACAGTCCATTTAAATATACGAATATTTAGCACCACCCGCACAACCATAGGGTGAAGCGGATTACCCGTCTAAGGAAGTAACCTCCAGCCACCTCCAGCTTACAGAAATCACAGAAAAATAATATTTTGGCGGTGTTGTGTTTCTGTTGGTGAGTAAGGTAACAGGTAGGATTGCCACCCGTACTTTATTATAAAGTATTGTACGTTATTTCCGGTAATTATACTTACGACGTTACATCCTCAAGATTTATAATAATTACTAAGGTAGATTCCCTTTCCATGTAATAGGAGTCGCACATGATTTTTAGAGCTGTGGGTATAAAAATAATTATTAGGAAAATATATAACATAATACCTCCACATTTACAAGAACGTCACCACTACCGCAATGTTCATTCTATTTCTATGTGCGGGCTCGTAACATGCTGTTTAATATAAAATTTTATTTCGGCTGTTCAAAAAGTTATTTTTAGATATAGTATGGGCAAAAGGAAAAGAGAACGCGATGAAGAAAAGACTCGCAGAAAAATAAGACACCAGGAGAAAAGATTGCGTAATTCTTCGACAAGCTCAGATAGTGAAGGTTAGTTAAATGTATTATTTCTTATTTTTTCTACACGAAACAAAAAAAAATATAAATTATTCTTGGTTTTATATTGTTATTAGTGAAAGCGAATAGATTTAACTGACCACATTGCAATGTGGTATAAGAGAAGATAAAATTTCTAGTTGTCGATATGGATTTTTTTTGAGATAATATTTTTATTCTGTAATGAAAGCATTTTGTTATTTTTAATAATTGATATTTAGTTATTACCATACTATGACACATATACAATCTATAATAACTTAGTCTAGTGGCGTAACGCGATTACGTACAATGACTTTAAAATACATACACTGCATTAAGCAGATATATGAAAATACAGTATAGTGGCGTAACGTGTGTGCGCACAATGACTGTTACAGTATTTATATTATGAAAATACAGTATAGTGGCGTAACGAGTGTGCGCACAATGACTGATAAGTGCTTTTATATGATATTTACTAGAAAACAACGTACTATACAATCTAGCTATTATATTAATAACACATTAGTACAAGAAGTTGACCACATAAAAGATTTAGGTGTGATTTTTGACAAAAAGTTAACTTTTGCTGCTCATTTAGAAAACGTTATCTTTAGAGCGTCTCGCATGCTTGGATTTATTATGAGAGTAGGCGGGGAATTTCGCAGGCTGCAGACAAGAAGGCTGCTGTACAATTCATTTGTCTTAAGCATTATGGAATACTGTAGTGTTTTATGGAGACCACACTATGCATGCCACTCTCTGAGGTTGGAACGCATTCAGAAGAGATATCTTTGGCATTTTGCTTACTTAAGTAACAAATGTAGGAAAGGATTTTCATACAAAGATAGATTAAAATTTTAATTATACTTCATTAGAAAACCGTAGGATTCTACTTGATCTTATATATTTGTGTAAATTATTTAACAATAAAATTGATTGCCCTGGCCTTCTTATTTACTTTAAATTTAATGTACCCCGTAGATTACCCATAACTCAAATAAAAACATTAATTCCACCTCTTTGCACAACGGTATTGGGTTCAAGTTCGTTTGTCCCTAGAGTAAGTAGACTTCTAAATTCTTTGGATCAGTCTATTGATATTTAGTCAGCACTTGCAACTGACCACGTTGTAGTATGTTGATATTATGTAGCTTTAGAAATTGGCAGAATTTTGTAAATATCTTATTTTATTGTTCTTTTAAAGTTACTGGTAATTATTAACTATGCATGTGGTGTTTACCTTTAATAATTTGTGCTTTTAGCTATAATACTTTCGCTGTAATATTTACATTGTATTATTGTAACAATTCCTGGTAAACCTATTAAATAAATAAAAAAAATAAATGACTGTTACAGTATTTATATTTGAAACTACAATGTTTCTGTTTTGTCTTAACAGAATATGACCGGTATTATCCAACGTCACCTATGGCTCAACGGATATCTTCAGATTAAGATAGATCGGATGAAAATAATATTCGATCATATGTAGTTGACCCTTCTTAAAATATAAGTGAACAAAATTCTACAACTTGCACAAACATTCCTTGTACATCTGCATAAGAACCAGTATCTAACCAAATGGATACATTAAATATCACTGAGCCAGAAATTTTACCTCAAGACATTTTAGACGCACTGGGCGATGCAGCAACTAAAGATGAAGTGTTGGGTCCCCCAATTAGCGAGGAGATTGCCAAACGTTGGGGTAAAGTAATTATTGATGGAATGACAAAGGAAGCAAAGGAAGCAGCTGTTAAAAAGATTTTAATACCTGAAAATTTTTTAGTACTGAAAGTACCTCAACTTAATATAGAAATATCTGCTGTTCTTAGCGGTAGCATTAAGTATCGTGACAAACTCCTACAGAGAAATCAGAACCAACTTGGATTGGGTATTGCCGGGTTTTCTAATTTAGCTTCTTCGTTAATTAAAGAAGATATAGTCAAGGTTGAAATTTTGCAAAAGCTTTCAGAAATAAACCAGTTGTTTTTAAATTTACATTATGAAAGTACCAAACAAACCAAACACAGAAGAAAACTTATCACATCATCACTGGATAAAAAATTTAGTATGATATCTGATGTTAAACGTGACGATTTTTTATTTGGGGCCAACCTTGGGGAAAAAATAAAGGCTACAAAGACAGCAGAACGGTCAGATCTTCAAATAAAGCGACCCGTCATTGCTACGCCAACCACTTCTAGGCAACAGGGAAACTGGAGAGGCCCACCCAGATCTCAGCAGAACAAGGCAACCAGACCGGGTGGGCACAGAACGAGCTTTCCAATGAACAAAGGATACACTACTCAGCAGACACGGAAACCGGTACAAATGACGTCGAATCGACCCCCAGCTGCAGTAAGACCGGATTTCAGGACTCGCAAAAACCAATAGAGGTAATACTTCATGCTGGTAGATTACGCCATTATATAAGCGCTTGGGAGGCTGTTACTACAGATTTAACAGTTTTAAATTACATAAAAGGTATAAAATTCCATTTTCTAATACTCCTCATCAAAATTTTGAACCCAAAAACCCTGTTTTT